ACTGGGCAGGGCAGTAACTGTGGCACCATGCTGAGGCCAGGTGGGCACTGCTTTGTCAGGCACAAGCATTCCCTCCCAGGTTAGTAATTTACTGTCTTGCCAGCTTCTGGTCCCTGGCCACTCTGAGATCCCACTGGCAGGGCAAGGCTGACAGGAAGCTTGGGGGCTGCACTGGGGTTGGATGTGAGGCTATGGGGCAGCTCTCAACTCCACCAGTGACTCACGGCAGTGGGGTCAGAAAACAACCTGCACATCAACTATCCCCCGCCCTGCCCTGGCCAGGCCCAGCCAGTGCCCTACTCACCATTGGCAAGTGTGAGCAGCCAGCTGTGCGGGGTGTAGAGATCGCAGGCAGCCACGTTATTCCTCTGGGCCGGCCAGTCAATGCTGGAGTAGTCCTGGATGTACAGCTCCTGGCAGGGAGCAGGCGGGAGATTAGCCATCCGCTCACTAGCGCGCCATGGGAGCAGACCCATGAGACAGCTGCAAGTGTCAGCCTGGTGGCGTTGGCAGCCCGGCGGGAGTACAGCACGGAGCGCACAGGGCAGCACCGGGGAAGGAGGGCAGCGCTGCCTGGCCCGCTCTGTGGCTCCACACCAGCCACCGGGACAGGTCCCATGTGGGAGCTGCTCCCAGCACCCTTTGCTAAGGAGACTTAACAAGAGGAGAAAGCACCTTCAGATAGTGCCAGAGCACCTGAGGGGGGCACCGGGGCCCCATGCGGCCTGGGGGGGGGCACACAGCCCAAAAGGGGGGGGGCTCCAGGGCCCACACAGGCCAGAATGGGGGGAGCACGCTGGAGCATGCTCATGCAGTCGGGAGGGCTTAATTCTGGCTGGAGGCCTGTGTGCAGGACTCCACCCCGCTCCAATTCACAGCAGGGCTCCTGGAGCCCAGTGGGCAGGAAGAAGACAGCCCCTAAGGCGTAACTCCCCTTCAGGCCTAGGGGTGTCAGGTGCCCAGCCTGAGACACCAAGTCGGATTCGCAGAGGGCAGGGCTCAGCGCTCTCAAATCAGACCCCTCCCGGGGGGCGGACGGGGCCTCCCAAAAATCACTCCTCCCTTTGGAAAGTGCAGGCCTTAGGCATTGTGAACAAGTGTGTGGTATGTACCTTGCTGTGGCATTCACAGGGAAAGCCTGCTCCCTGCACGACCCCAGACACTCTGCCCTTGGCTTTCCTTCCTACCTTGTCCTCCCAGCTCTCTCCTTCCTTCCCCAAAGCCCACCCCAATTCCTGCCCCATAGGGCTCCCTCCACCCCTCCCATCAGCCAAGGTTACCAGCACTGGAAGAGCGTTAATGCGGCGCCTACACGGGCTGTTTAAGGCGGGCACTCCCGGGCCCCCCGTGACTGTCCTCGCCACTGAGTATCAGAAATAAGACTGGCAGGTGACTGGTAGAAGAACCTTCACAGGGAGAAGATACCAGGTACCGAAGGGCGGAGAAAGGCAGAACAAGAACCAGAAGCTGAAGCCATGAGGCCCGAACAGTGAACAACGAGGGTGATCAACCACCGGAATGTGCTGCCAAGGGAACTGGCAGACTCTCCATCTCTTGATGTCTTCAGCTCCCGACTGGCTGCCTTTCTGGAGGGCACGCTGTACTGCAGCCAGACACGTCGCTGGGCTCAGTCCAGAGTAACTGGGTGACATTCTCTGGCCTGCGTTACACAGGAGCCTGACTAGATGATCTACCGGTCCCCTGACGGGATGAATTGAGCTCCGGGTCGTCACGCAGACAGCAGGGCATCGGTCCCATGCAGCTCCTGTTTGGAAGGTTACTACTGCACCTATGAAGGCAGAGCCTTTCCATCTTCTAACAAGAGCTGGGATGCTGCACAGAGGTAACATGCCAGTGGCCACATACCGACATCGAGGGGCCCAACCCAGCCTGGGCCAGTCGTACCTCAGCCCTAAGCTAAAGGGAAAGCATGGAAGGGCCACGTGGCTCACTCAAGCAACATCCCCCTGAAGGAGCAGAAATGCAGCCCACACTACGTCAACGTAGAGAAGCATCAGCTGTGACAGGGAAGGCGTAAGGAGGCTCAGAGGGAACCAGAATGGCCAGCAGGAAATAGGTACTTCTGTAAGTCTCGGAGAACCAGGAAGCTGGCGAGAGTCGCTGGCCCTGCTAGATCAGCAGAGGGCGAGCGGAAGAACCAAAGAGGACGAGACGCTGAGCAGCAGGGTTGCTAAAGTCTTCACCACAGAGAACGAGGGGAGATTCCCACCCTGAACTCCTCTTTGGTAACAGAGACGAGGCAGCATGAGGGACGGAGGTGTCAGACACGGGGCTGCTGGGACATGGCTCAGGGCCGTTGCAAGTGCCCAGGCAGGGGGGAAGACCCAGAAGCTCTGGTGGGACAGGGGAACAAGGGGCTGATGTGGGGATCGTATCACAACGAGCCCACAGGGATCTCCAACAAAGCACTGCCAGGGGCTGCAGCCCCTGGGATTTGC